GGGGAAGTTTGTTCAACGAAGCAAAATAGAAACTGAGTCCTGGGATTTGATAAAAGTAAAAGCTGGGAAAACTGTTGTATTGCGCAAATAATGCTAATGGTATCTCTAATCATTCAAAGATACATTTAGATATACCTACTTTTATAGTGGCTTTCCCAATATGTTGCTTAATTGGAATGTATGATTGGTGTTTGTGTCACAGGGATGACTCTCCCTTAACACTGATGGTGGAGGCGTCACTATTTCATGAGTTATAAAAAGTTCTTGCAGAACAAAATTTGCGTCGATTACTCGATGCAACAGCGTAACTCATAAACGTAATTCGATCATCGTGTTGATAAAGAGATTAAAGATAGCTGCAATACTCTTTCTAGAGAGACCTGTACATGCATGTTATTGGAACAATTCAAACGTTGAAACTGAAATATAGATAAGATTTGAAATATATATTAAAACAGAGATATAGATTAGAGATATATTTACACATATATACTTTTATAAAGGCTTCCCCAATATGATGCTTAAGTGAAATATGTTATTTGTCTTTTAGTCACAGAAAAGATTCAAATATGTTAAGCAACACTGATTGTGGTAGCGTAACTACCTTTTGTGTTATACAAAGTTCTTTCCAGACGGGTATTGGGTCGATAACTCGATGCAACGGCGTAACTCATTGTTGCAGCTAAGCAGAACTCAAAAATTCTCAAAAATATGTTTACGAAGAGCCATATCCAGGGATATGGAAAAAATGCTTCCCCACTGACAGATCTAATCATCAGAACTATTTTATAAATGTAGAAAATAGAAGAGATTACACCAAATACGACAGTCAAGAAGGCAATTCTTAAGATTTTGTTCCTTGTCGTTAGACTATTTGGTGCTACGCGCTGGTGAGCTTTGGAACGGTCAAATTTGTGAAGCGATTTCTGAATTGTTCTCTTTTTTTACCACACGCCTTCCACTGATAAGTTAGCAAAGAGCGGTGGCCAAACATCAACAAAGTAATAAAAGGCACAAAGAACCAACAAAACTTCCACGCCTTTGACATATCTTGTGAGAAATTCGACGGTAATTACCGCAAGAAAATGCAGAACAAGAACTATAGTGACCACTCTACTTCCAATTGGATTTTTCTTCATAACCTGAACTTTGCGGAGTAACATGAAAATCTTGTGCATAAATGTGAACCCAGAAAAAAGGCAAGGATAGCCAAGGGCAAACAGCAAGCGAGGCACAATGTACGGAACGCGTTTTGGTGTGTTGCTCATGATATCGTAAGGCGAAATACTTAAAGACAGCGTTCTGGTCAATCCGAGTAATATGACAAGAACTTGTATAATACTGATGTAGTTCTTCCTCATCGTTCTCTTCAGGCGGAATATCTTGTACAACTGATAGCCATTATACAATGCTAAAAGACTAAAACATATTGAAAACATTATCCAGTGAACTTTGAATAAAATCCACCAGGCATCGCCGACGGAGTCGAGATCGATTCTGGGCTCAGCATTGGGGTAGGGTATATCATCGTCTATGAACTATTACCGTCAGAGTGACTCTTCGGATAAACCATTCTATTATTCGACTAAAACTTGCCGGTTCTCATAAACTATCATTCCAAAACAGCTGGTCACAAGAATGCAGCGTCAAATTTACGGCGTTTCATGTTATGTCGCAGGCAAAAGCGAATTTAATAGCACCGACATGGAATTACAATTTGAAAAAAGTATTCACCTCCCATGGAGTTGCATTATTGCAACGGTATGCATCTTTGTCGAATTCGCTTTTATATCTGACGAAAACGGAAAAACTAGACAATAAAACGACCAATTTATTTCAAACACAGAAGTACAAAGAGCTCTTGTATACGAATGTGTCAAGAGATCAGTCTTTATGAGACTAGCGACTTCATTTGCTATTTACTGTAAGAATAACAATTACAACGTTACTGACAAACTACATCGACGCGTTAATATTGAAAGAGCCTGTTAAATGCTAATGGCAATGAAGAAAGATTGCTTATGTCTGAAACAGTTTCGCTTGTCCCCAAACAAATAAAAGTTATGACGCGCGTGTGGACTGTTAAGTGAGTTGGACCATTACATTCTCTTTAAAAAATGGACAATAGTCGGAACTAAAAATTTTTTAATAAAGTCAAATGTTGTATAGACGCAAGTTAAGATGATTTTTTCGGACAGACACAATAATCCTTTGCGCAGTTTCGAGAGTTTGTTTGCAACGTTATTGACTTGCTTAGATTTAACTACAGGCGTAGATGTTTTAATTAAAACGATATCATAAAAACACTAAATATGTTCAAGTTAACGTTACAATATTGTTAGAATGACTCACTTCCTTTGGAGAAACCATTTTATCAATCCACTAAAACTTCCCAGTTCTCATCAGCAATCAATCCAAAACAGCTGGTCACAAGAATGGGACGTCACTTTTATGGAGTTTCATGTGTATGTAGGAAATGCCAAGAAAACAAACCTCATAAGCACCGACTTGGAATTACAATTTGAAAAAAAATAGTGTTGTAAGCATAACTTCTCAATGAAATAATGTTAATAGTAGCTAAATAAAAAAATTTTCTGTACATCCCACCTGCAATGTTCACATTGACATGCAATTGACGTTATCACGTTGGTTTTTTAAGGAATTACTCTACACTTGGCTTGGGTTTGAGAGCTTTACCGTGTAATAACAAAAAATCCAGAGTTGCATTAATTGCAAGTACGGCGTATCACGTTTCTGTAGAGAAATCTGCTCAAACATTGATGTTTGTAGTAGCGCATTTGTTTAACCCAGATGTCACTTTTCTCACACTGTTATGACAATGTGACGGCGTTGTCCGCTTAAAGAACCAAACTTTGATATTTAAGTTTGTCTGAATAAGATACTATTGTATACATAAACACAAATAAAGAACATCATAAATGATCATTTTGCAAGTTTAAAAATTAATCATATCGCTGACACTTTACTTATTCGTAATTAACAATTGAATACATCTTAAAACGGATCATAATTTACAAAAATCTCAGGAAAACTGAGAAACTTGTAGCTTAGTTGCTTTCAGAGTCATTGATTCAAGAAGCGCTTGCTCAAGGGCTTGTTTGGTTTAGAGTTAAAATGCTATGATTCATGATAATATCTTATTGGCTACACTTCGTTATTATAATGACGTATGCCTGGACAACGAATAATTTCTGAACGAGAGGAAATCTCTCTAACAAAGCTTAATACAACGTAAGTCAGAGGATTTAATAATTATAAAAGCTGGGAAAAACATTTTTATTGCGTAAATAATGCTAATGTTATCTTGAATCATTTAGAGATATATTTACATATATATACTTTTAATGTGGCTTTCCCAATATATTGCTTAAGTGAAATGTATGATTGGTTTTTGTGTCACGAGGCTGACTCTCTTTAGCACTGATGGTGGAGGCGTAGCTCTGAGTTGTACAAAGTTCTTGCCAAACAAACAATGCGTCAATAATTCGATGAAACAGTGTAGCTCATTGTTGCAGCTAACTGTTGCAGCTAGTTCATTAAAGTGTTATATTACGAATTTTAGCCCCCCCCCCTTTTTTTATTAGCTAAATTGAAAGACCTTGTTTCAGTGATTTTAAATCTGCAATTATAACTGAAATTGGATTGGGGAAAGTGATATTACGGACGTTCAAAGTCACGATTTTCAGCATTTTTTTGCGAACTTTTTGATCGGTATACTAATAACTTGTGACGTTAAAGTTGAACACATATATCAACATGGCGTATTCTATGAGTAATCTTAATAAGAAACGCGGAGGAAAACGCTGTGTTGCTGGTAGACCTGATCAAATTAGTTGCGCCAATGATTCAAAAACCGAAGGAATGTCGATGCATCTGTTTCCTAAAAAAGAAACAGAGCCGCAAAGACATAGAAAATGGGTAAATTTTGTGCGTAAACATAAACCGGGTTTTGAGGGTTCCACTACCTTGTGTCTGTGTTCTGCACATTTTGAAGATTCTTGATTTGACCTTAATTTGAGCGTGCAAGTCAAGCTCAAAAGAAGGTTGAAGAAAGATGCTATCCCAACCGTTGACGTGGCTGGGATTCCTGAACCATTACAGGACGAAATAACCGAACGAAAGCGAAGACAAGTAAGTTTACGCTTGTTTATGTTAATTTTTCTTTTGTCATATGTAAATTCGATTTAAGATTTGTAGATTATTCGACATACTCTCCATAAGCCATCGCTGAAGGAAACATGTTCTCTCGATGAGGAAGTACCATCTACTAGTGATGGAGCTGAGCATGTTGAAGTATGCACTGGGGAAGCAAACGATTCGCCATTTGAAGAAGAACTACATGCAGTTGGTGAAGATATTTGTGAATCCCAGTCTCCATGTAAATCATGCCATCGTTTTAAGAAAAAACTTACATCTTAACAAAATACTTTAAGCTGGTATAAAAAGACAAAAGCATCTTTGAAGAAAAAGGCCCAGAAGTTGCAAAATGAATATCGAAGCGAAATCAGGGAAAATCGAAATACATCCGTGGTGACCAGCATTAATATACACGATGAAATGCAGGGGAGTGCTGAAGAGCTTTTCGAAGGAGAATGATACATGGACTACTCCTCTTTCGAAGAGTCTAGTCAGAGTGAAGATTTAGATGAAGATACCACAAGTAATACAGTCAGGTATTTTATCTTATAAAGAATTAGATGTCTGTTGTATTTCATAATAATGAATTTTCTTAATCGTGTTTCAGAATTGATGAAGGAGCAAGCTCGCATGAACAACCTATGTTCATGGTATTTTACATCTCGTTGGTTGAGTTATTTGAAAAATTTTGCTTTAACTGCAAGGCTGAAAATCCAAAAGTACACATTAAAAACATTGTTTCGATGGCCATTGAAGAGCAAAATTGTGGTAAATGTGTTGAAAAGATTTTTATGTGGAGAAGCCAACCTATGGTTTTGGGAAGATATCCAGCTGGAAACGTTATGACTAGTTTTGGTATATTGATGTCTGGTGTCAGTATAAGTCAGGCCATGCAGATGTTCAAGCACATAGTGTGTCCATAGTGAATCTCTCAGCAAGTAGTGTGTCCACTTATCATGTGCATCAACGCACCTTCTTGTTTCCAGCTATTCTTAATTGAAGATGTGAAAAAAAGTGATGCGTATTTCCAGACATGGTCAGGAGATTGACGCTTTGATTCTTTTGGGCACAGTGCAAAATATGGAGTCTACACAATTTGGAGCAACACAACATCAAAGCTGGTTCATTTTGAATTGCTTCAGATATTATCGAATGATGAAAATCATTGTTTGTAGTGTTTTTACTTTCAATGATGGAAGCATTTTGATTTTTAATTAGGCCAATGAAGTTGGTAGCAGTAATTTCATGAAAATGGAGGGAGCAAAAAGATCTTTTAAGTTTCTTGAGAAATCTGTGCTTACCATGGATGTTTTCATCAGTGACAGGCACAAAGGGATTGCAAAGTGGATCCGAAACGAAAAAAAAGAAACAAAGCACTTAAATGATATCTGGCATGTAAATAAAAGTATTGCTAAACAACTTAAGATGGCAGGCAAAGAGAAAAGGTGTGAAATAATCAATGAATGGTTGGGTGGTATTCGCCGACATTTGTATTGGAGTGCTCAGACTACTATACTTGGTTTTGAAGAGCTTATCGTTGCTAAATGGAAATCTACTGTGAGACACATGTCTAACAAGCATGATAACCACCCCGATGCATTATTCCCATCGCGTGCTCATGGTCAGTTCCCAGAGCGGAAATGGATACCAATAGGTAACTTAAAATACTCAGCTAATGTGGAAATTGAATAGTACAAGGTTGTATGTCATACTATAGTCACAACTCTATACATGAAAATCAATTTCACAACCTTTTAGGAACTATTGCATATGATAAGATATGCTCTATCCTACTCAAGCCAAGCATTTTGAAACACATCGGCAAACTTTCACCAGATGGCGAGACTAGTTGTCTTGAAGGCTTTCATTCCACCATGAACCATTGGCATCCAAAAACGACTCATTTTTCATGGCTTGGAACATTTTGCAGGTCAGCATTTAATGCCTTGAAATATATTTTCTCATCTGCTGCGATATTTTTTTAATTTTTTCTTGATAGACATGTTATTGCCATACTTCATTTCAATGAAAATGTTCATCGTGAGTCGAAAAAATCAAAGGATGGACAAGTGGTGTATAACATAAATTTGCCTAAGTATAAGTTGGGTGAGGAAGTAGTGCGGGAAATGTCTGTGAAGCCATCTTATGGTGTGCTAATTTTTAGAATGTTTTGTAAAATATGAGAATTGAAGCATCAGTAACAAATTACTTTTCATATCAATTTGTAGAATATGTTGAACAAGTAAAGAATGTTCTTTTCATGTTTAATAAACAAGAACTTTCAACTATAATGGAAAGATATAGAGGAAAAGCACCCGAACCTTTGTGCAGCCAGTTTCCCACAAAGCGATCCAAGGCTGAGGCAATAAAAAAATATGTTGCGAGGAACAAGCATGTCAGTCATGCACTTTATCCGTGCTGTAAGTATGGGATAATGGTATTGTTTACAATTATTTTAGGACGTAATGATCTGCATTTTTTCCTTAGTGGAACAGCAAAGACAGAAGTTACAAGACCTAACAGATGATGCGGATCAAATTTTATATAGCGCTGGGAATAAAAGTACTCGCAAATGTACTAAATCAAAGCTTCAATGAAATGACATCCTTGAGGTAAATGCTCCACTGAAAAAGAATAAATTGAAGTTGGTAGATGTTAGGGCAGTGGTCAGACATTGCTTGGAGCCTGTCTGGAATGGAGAAGTAAGGCACCTCCTTCCCACCACCAGCCTGAGTGTTCACCTTGGGCAAGTGATAGTACCCTCTAGCCTCCCTATCTGGGCACTGATATAAACACCTTTCCTGATGATTACAGTATTAACATAACATTGAATGGTATGTATACTTGTCAGATTGAAGATGACTATCTCATTCGATTGTGCAACTAATTAATTTTCATGAATAATTTTTTTTATTGTAGTTTAATTCTCAACATGCCCTTTGCGGATGCAGTGCACTCAAGTGCGAAGACCTTATAAGATAAGTTTATGTGGCTTGCTTTTTTCCATTTTTACATTTATGCTATGATTTAATTCCATATATTTTTTCTTTTGTCTTTTTTCCCAGACTGACATTGAAGAAAAGATTTTCTTTCATTTAATTCTTTCAGCTTAACCTCTCAGTAGTTGCACCAATTTGTTTTTATTGTTTATTCTTGTTTCAAACCATTAAACTGCATGTCAACTTATATAGTGCATCCATGTATCTCCTATTTGGTTTTCTTCTAGGCATATTTCCTGACCATTCTAAACTGAGCAAAGAAGGTCAACAGTCTCTACAGTGCACAAGTTAAAAGACCTTTCCATCATCGCCCCTCTGATGGTATGTAACCTTTTGTGTTACCACTTGGATATGCTTTCCGAATAAAGTGGTAAACACAAGCACGTAAAGGCCGAGTATTCTCCCATCCCATAGACCCACAAAACCATCGCATCAACCATCTGTATGCCACAGCTCTCAAGTACCTGAAGTAAATAAAAAGGTTGGACTAATTATTGTTAATGAAACAATGTTGATGATAACATTGTTTCTCATACAATTTACAGTCTTACATATTCAATAATTGTGATGCTTGGCGGCGATAAGCACGTCCATTCCTATCTCTCAATAGTGGCCCGACGTTTTCAAGGACAGCCTCATGAACTAAAGGCCCAAATTTGGCATGCTGTGTTATGCATGATATTGTCTCAATCTGCCATCGAATATCATTTTCTACAAAGCTGGTCCTATTTCCTTACAGCATCTGTACTCTAATGCGCCTTCTAACAAATCGGTATGACAGCATTGACAATTACACCTGAAACGGGGGAGCATTGTGGTTTATAAAGTAACTTTATGTATATTACAAACAGGAGAAAACAACAACTTACCATTCACCGAGTGGAATTACGCCATCATTTAGTTGTTCTAATGTCGCAGGGAGAATTCCATCGGGATCATCTGGAGTATGCACTTCATCACCATCTCCTGCGAGCGGTTCATCGTCATATGCGAAGTCGTTTAAATGCTCGACATAACCCACGGATTCCGAGCTCGAATCAGATACGCATTCAGACATCGAATTCGAATTATCTGAGCACTGATTTGAGGCCATACTTTCCGGAAAACGTGTTTTTTAATATTTTATTGAAAATACTGTCGTTCTTTGTTTTTAAGACAAGAAAAACGACAACAAAATCACCTCCTATAATATAATATTATATTGATGGAAACAGACGTGTTCAACTATCTACGTCACAGTTATCAATATGGCGTCGTAAAAAATTCGCAAATAGTACCCGACTTTGGAGGCAAAATTAAGGAACTTATATTGATCTATTTAAGTCCAGCGACATGTCATAGTTCTTCAAATAATCCAAATTTTCAATTAAGCTCATAAAAAAGGGGGGCTAAAATTCGTAATATAAGCACTTTGATGATACAAACAGTATTCAATTATAATGCTGATAAATAAGATAAAATATAGCTACACCATCTCTTTCTAGAGAGACATGTACATTTATGTCATGAACCTACATGAAGTGCAAGCTTGTTATGCATGTTAATGGAGCAAGAACTGGGAAATCTTCAAAAAATTGTTTACAATGAGCCATGCCCAGGGCTCTGGGAAAAATTTATCCCCATTGACAGATCTTATCATCAGAATTATTGTGTAAATATAGGACAGAGCAAAGAGCACACCAAAAATACGGCAGTCAAGAGTGTAATTCTTAAGATTTTGTTCCTTGCCGTTAGACAATTTTGTGCTACGCGCTGGTGAGCTTTGGAGTCGTCAAATTTATGAAGTGATTTCCGAAATGTTCTCTTTTTTTACCACACGCCTTCCACTGATAAGTAAGCAAAGAGCGGTGGCTAACCATCCAACAAAGTAATAAAGGGCACAAAAAACCAACAAAACTTCCACGCCTTTGACATATCTTGTGAGAAATTCGACGGTAATTACCACAAGAAAATGCAGAACAAGAATTATAGTGACCACTCTACTTCCCATTGGATTTTTCTTCATGAGCCGAACCTTGCGGAGTAACATAAAAATCTTTTACATAAATGTGAAGCCAGAAAAAAGGCAAGGATAGCCAAGGGCAAACAGCAAACGAGGCACAATGTACGGAACGCGTTTTCGTGTGTTGCTCATGATATCGTAAGGCGAAATACTTAAAGACAGCGTTCTGATCAATCCGAGTAATATGACAAGAACTTGTACAATACTGATGTAGTTCTTCCTCGTCGTGCTCTTCAGGCGGAATGTCTTGTATAACTAATAGCCATTATACAATGCTAAAAGACTGAAACATGTTGAAAACGTTATCCAGTGAATTTTGAATAAAATCCACCAAGCATTACTAACGATTGTCATTTATTACTTCTTTTTGAAATCATGTAAAGTACAAACATTTTTATAAGTATCACGGGAATAGTTGTGTGAGCCCCTAACTATTTACTTTAGACTTTTTATTGAATGTTTTGATAATTACAAAAGCAAAGGAACAGAAGCGGAAATACTAGTACATTCTAGAGGATACCGAAACAAAATACTGATCTGTTCAAACAGGCGCTTCGAAAATTGTACAGAACTGATTCAAAAGCGCACAGTAGATAATCGAATATGGCTGAGTTTGCAAAATTCAACATTTCCCCCCGTATTTTGGACACAAAATATTTCGATCATTTCGGCAATTAATCTATTAATACACAAGCATATTTCAACAACTAAAGTACCAATATCAAGAAATAGAGCCAGTTTTATAAATAGGAATCAGAATTAGGAGCCTCTCTTGTCAATCTTATAAAAGGCTTTAAAAAGATAAATACATAATATCTCATTATGAAGGCTGCAACTAAAACCTTTCAATGACGATAAACAATTCCTTCTGCTATTTATAGGCCCGTGCAATTCCTCATATAATATAGCATAAACCACATACCCTATAATCTGATGGCTTTCTTGGATTGCAACCAACCTCCAGGGAACTATATTAAATAATGTGGCTAGCCCACGATAACTGCATGGTGCTAACAATAGTATTGATAAAACATTCCTTTGTATTTAACCACCAACATGGCGGCCGTGTTGCAAACATGCACACCAAAAATATTTCATTGCTCTGTTTGATTGCCCCATTTCTTCCAAAAGGAAATTCTTTCTACATTGCTCAGCTGCAGACATAAGAACAAATAAACTTCAACGCATTAACTTGACAATAGGATTTTGTGATGCCCATCAAGTATTTTCTTTTAAATTATATATGTTAAAAACATCAATATATTTTAACATGAGTCGGGAAATTTGCATATGATACAATGTCCACTGTGATTCTATGTAAGGTTGTGTATTTTGTGTGTCATCGCATAAATTGCGACTAAGGGGCAGATTACATAAGCAGGGTAGCCGGGATTCAGTCAAGCGATGAATGATTTTGGCAAATGGAAACGATTAAATACTCATCATCAGACAAATCTTCTCTGGAAATTTCACAACATTCTGGTTTGAAAACTACACAAAACATTTAAAATTATAACAAGAAATTTGGCCTAATTTGAGAATTACAGTAGAAATGACTCGTGGTACTTAATAAACAGTTGTAATTTTTAAGCTTGAAGTTTTGACTCCTTTCAATACCTCCAAATCATTTCACGCCTCACTGAAACTCGGTTAGCCGGAATAATCTAAACAGCCCCTAATTTATCAGAAAAGTGCATGTTGCACACCCACGTCGGAGAGGTGACAACATTAACACTGATAAATTATTCTTTTGTATCAGATCACCATCAAACATTGCTGAATTGAAAATGAAGAATAAGTCCAAGACAACAGACAACCAACTTCTCTTTCTGTCCTCTTTAAACTCACTATAAACAATGTACTTGTCATTGCTATCTTGGATTACATTCATAGAAAGATAATGTTTATGCAATGCACCAAAGCCCAAACAAACTGTTTATAGTTTTTAATTCAAGTATATTTAAAGATAAATCTAAATTCAAAAACAATTCCTTCGCATTAAAACTTGGCCGAGGTATGGATAAATGGTAAAACCAACCAGATTTAAACTCCAAATTTGTCAAAATCAATTTCTACAAATCCGCCCCATTAGTAAACTAAAGTCCATAGCTTAACTTAAGATTTTTATAATAAACCTAATAACTTTAAATTATTTTCAATTCTATAGAAGCACACTGTTCATCATCATTTATTTGAAATTTTCTTCAATTGGACGAAGTGCCATGATTAACATTTTCTGGTTCTATAAAGAATTCACAGTCCTTTAGATCGAGCAGTTGCAATGCTTTGTTCAATTTCAAGCATAAATAGTATTCCTTGGAATCTTCACAGTTACCATCATTGTCAGACTTATAACTATCGCGGGCATCATCATCATTGATTTTGCACACGGCATATGCAAATGGCCGCCAAACATCTTTACGATCTTTGAAATAAATTAGAGTTCCCGAGTCATTT